CTCACGTCTAGTTTCGAAAACCTTTCAATGAAAGATAGTGAGACCTTTGATGAATTTTATGCGAAGTTGATTGACGTTGTAAATTCCAACTTCAATTTAGGTGAAAAAATACCGGAATCCAAGATTGTAGGAAAAGTTTTGTGGTCCTTACCTGATCGGTTCCAAGCTACTGAGGAGGCTCAAGATGTTGACAACCTCAAGCTGGATCACTTGGTTGGAAATCTCCAAACTTATGAGGCACATAGGAATTTCAAAAAGAAACAAAAAGATGCTATTGCTTTTAGTAGTGCTCATAGAGTTGGAGAGGATTCTGATGAGGATTGTGAGATAGATTCCAAGATTACAGCTGCTTTTGTTAAACAATTTAAAAAATCTTTTTTGAAAAGAATCCTAATCTTTTGGAATCTACTCATACTCATAAATTTAAAGGCAAAGATAAACTCAAAATTAATTCTATAGCCAAGAAGGAGAAAGGAAAGATACAAGGGAACTCTGAAAGAGTCCAATGCTATGAATGCCAAGGATTTGGTCACTTTGCTTCAGAATGCCCCACTCGTTTGAAGAGGAAGAAAGCCCTCGCTATCACTTGGGATGATGAATCAGAATCTGATGAGGATGAAAGTGACAACGAAGATCAAGGCGAAGAGGGACATAAACAATTCCTTGCTTTCATGGCAGCCTCCGAAATTGAAGGACGAACAGAGTATTCGAAGCGGCCAGTTGATAATGCCACTGATGATGAATCCTCAGGCAGTGATGGTGAAGAGCTTGAGCAAGCTTATGAAAAATTGTATAAGGAATCTCTTAACTTATCCAAATTGAATGACAAACTCACTATAAAACTCAAAGCATGTGAAAGTGAGAATGTCAAACTAAAGGAGGAGATTTTCGAGGCTAGGATTGATGCCATGAAGATAGTTAATGATCAACAAGCTCTTTGTGCAAAACTCTTGACTTGTGAGACAGAGAGGAATAAGCTACAACAAATCTATGCCGTGTATGAAGAAAAGATTGAATCTCTCGAGATGTCTCAAGTTGCTTTGGAAGAACTAATGATCAAGAAAGAGGAAGAACTCAATGTTGCTATGGCTACCATTGGTCTTTGGAATAAAGGATCAAAGACTTTGGACAATATCATTAGGTCTCAACAAATTTGTTATGACAAGAGTGGCATTGGCTTTGGTGGTAAGAAAGAGCAAAAACAGAGTGCTTCCACATCTCATGATACAAGAACTCAAGGGCAGGGGGAGCACAAGATTCAACAAGAGAAAAGACATATCAATCTTCCTAGAGTTGGTAAGGCCAAAGAAAAGAAGGTACATCCTATACACCCTGTTTTTATTTGTCATCATTGTGGTAAGTATGGTCACTTATTGTTTTGAGTTGTATGGGAGAGTGTCTCATAGAGATAGAAGAAATTCCAACATCTCGTGGGGGTAGGAGACACTTCATTGGTAGTAATGAGGTTAAAGGTCATATTAGACCTCGTTATTTTGATCAGCTTGAGACCAAACATGGAGCAAGTTTGTATTTGCCAAGACCTAGAAATAGGAAGTTGGAAACCAAGTCGAGACGGGTTCCCATTGAAAGCAAAGGGAACCACAACGTCATGACACCACTGGGAACCACAACGTCAAGACACCACCCAAGAACCGCAATGCTCACAACTTTGTTTATACTAAAGCGGTTTGGGTGAAAAAACTTGACTTGTGTTAATTTGTTTATTTGTTTTAGTTTTTGGGTTTCTGTGTGTTTTTTTTTTAATGAGAAAAAAAAATGTGTTCTTGTTTGTTTTCTGACATGTTTTGTTTAAAAAAAAAATGTGTGCATGTTCATTTTTTTGTCTTGCTTTGGTTAAGAAAAAATGAAAAAAAAAATCCAAAAAAATTTTCTTAGTATAGTTTTGCAAGCTTGAAATTTTTGAGTGGTCCTTGGTGCATATTGGAATTGATAAGAATATCCATTACATGTTAATATGTGTGTGCTTTTCTGTGGTCATTACTCATTTTGGAGTGTGTGTTTTTTTATTAGCATGTCTCATTCTGTACACACTCTTGGATTAGCAAATATCGGAGTCTTCTGCCTCAGTGATTATTTTTTTTCTATGGACTTCTGGCATTGTGTCTTTTGCTTTCTAGATGAATTGACCAAAACTAGCATATCATGGGTGATGTTAAGTCTCTTAAACCACCTTCCATCTTTTTACATCTCCACGACTTTCCCCTCTATTCTTTGTAGTCCAGCCATGAGGAAAAGGCTACCTCAGAGTCACCAACCAGGCCATCCTTATTATATCCATGCTTCTCTGGTTCGGTTTCCATACTCTTGAGTGTGTCAGCCGCCAATGAGTGTGCAAAAGAATAAGAAAAAGAAAAAAAATGTGCAAAAGAAAGAAAAGAAAAAAGATGTGAAAAAAAAAGAGGAAAAAATAAAGGATTCATTGATTGAGGGGGAGCCTCCGCTTTTACTTACCAAATACCTCTTGATTCCTAGTGGTTTGACTTCCCTTAGTTATGCTTAGATTCTCTTGCCGGAGGTCCAGCGATCACTACTAGGATTTGAATCTTGTGTTTGTCGAACTCCAAGAGTCACACACACACTTTTATCATGGGTTCTATACTTTTCACGTAATGCATCACTTTCTTTCATGAGGAATCTTCTATAGACTGTGCACATTGTGTTTTCAAGTAATTGTGTTTTTTGGATAAATCTTGTGTGTTCTAAGGGACAAATATGAGATTTCTTGCTTGCTCCACTATATTATTTTTGTCGTTTTTTTCTTGTTCATTGTTTTTTGTACAGTGTTGTGGTTGCTTTGAGTGAAAGAAGGAGTTTGGTTAATCGTTATCATATCATTGCTTGTGTGTTTTATGCTTTTACTTTAGTTGTTTGAGCTTCCTTTGTCAATTCATGACAAAAAGGGGGCGAAATGTTGTCGGGTGCATGTGTCTTAGTTTTCTTGTTTTCATGCTACATGTTCTTAATATCTCCAAGTCGCATCTATTCATGTTTTCCATCTCATGCTTCAAGATAATCTAGTCATATGTTTATTGCTTTTTCATATACTCTTGTGGCATTAATAGTTGTTTTGGAGATTGTGGCACTAATCATTGTTTTACAACTCATGACCTTGAGAAAGAAGTTTGCGTTTGTTGGCTATAATAGGTTGGGGGTGATTAGGATTTTATTTGTTAGGTGTGTTTTGTCACGGCATTACCAAAGGGGGAGATTGTTAGGTTTTTATTTTTGGCAATCCCGTTTGACAAAACTTCTTTCAGTTGTACTTATTTTCGCACTTTTTATTTCCGCGAGGCTATGAGTTTTTAGATGTGAATCCTACCTGAATTGTGCCTTGCAGAGAAGTTTGTGATGTTAATGCTTTCAAGATTGCCACTTTGCTGATTATGACGGGATCGAGCAGCCCGGTCAGCTCGCAGGGGTCCAGGGCAGCGCCCAGGCGGGGTTGAGAGGCAGCACCCCCGAAGCAAAATGCAAAATTGCATTCAAAATTGCATGTCCGCCCTTGCTCGCTCGAGCGAAGGAGTTCTCGCCCAAGCGAATGCTGCGTTTGGCAAAAAACCTGAGAATGATGAATGTACGCTCGAGCGAAGCTACTTATGGAAAACACGCGTTTTTGGTTTCTCGCTTGAGCGAGAGAGTCTTCGCTCGAGCGAGCTTCGTGATTCAGATTTCTATAAGTACATGTTTCTATCAGATTTTAGGATTACCGCTCCAGATCTTCTTTTTGGATATTAAGACTTATATCTTGGGATATTTTGCTAGTTTTCTTTGATGTTTAATTGAGTATTCAACTCATGGGTTAAGAACAATACATCAAACGTTCGTTTGTTCATTCTATACAAAAGAGATAGTTGTTCTTCGGTAGATTCTGAAAAATTTGAGCTTGAAGCTTTGGTGGATTCTAGAGTGGCTCATCGTCAAGACAATTGCGAGGTGAAGACGGGATTGGAAGAGACACATAGGGGTTGGTTCAATTTGGGTGTGGATTCGCTAGGTAATTGAGAGTATACCTGTGTAATTTCTTTATATTTTTTTAGTAGATTATTTTGTGGCTTTTGCCCGTGGTTTTTTTTTTATCACAATTGGAGGTATCCAATTGTGATTTTTTCACGTAAAATCGTTGTATCGTTTTGTCTTGATTGTTTGATTGAGATTGTTGTTTACTACTTAAAATTGATACATAATCACAAATCAACATTTAGGGGATTTCTAGATTTTTCACTTAAAATATAGACTTGATCAGTCCATATTAATAAAAAATAATACTACCTCAATAGAAGTTGCATTAGATTGAGGCAATGTACAAAAATATAGTGGCTACTTGAATGAAAATCAACACCAATCCATATTGGTGGAAGCCTGGAAGGATAATGGAACCCAATCCCACATCCTTGTATAGAACGCCCTTTTCTTTCTTGTATTATGCACTGTTGCTCACCCTATGTAATTTTATTACAAAATTAGGTAAATTTTTATGAATTTACGTAAGTAATCACAAAATTTTTTATAAGTTGAATATAAATTCACGTAAATTCACTATAATAAATAGTCACGTGAATTTATATTTAATTTATATATTATTTTGAGATCACTTATGCAAATTCGTACAATTTTATAATAGGGTTGTATAATTTTCCATATTAAATTTACTTATATGCCTCATTTGGATTAAACTTTTTTAACTCGACTTTTTAACTATTTTAACCTGGTTAAAAAAAATTTAATTTGGGATAAACTATTAACTTTTTTTTTTTTTTTTGTAGTTGATTTAATGGTTGTAGAAAAAAAAGTAAAATGATTATGGTTTGAATATAAATTTTGTTTTATTAATTAAATTAACCTATTTTATTTTTTTGTTAACTAATTTAACCCTAACCCATATGCCAAACATGGTCTACTTCCTAGAAAATGCCAAAATGTACACTATAAATAGAGAGGGATCTAGAGATATAAGAGATATCACCGGAGCCACTCTTGCACCTGTAATCAAAATCATTCCCAGCCCTGAAACATTGCACCATACCATCCCCATTCCCAGCTTCTACTTTAATTATATATATATATATATAGATATATACATATCTTTGGGTAACGATGACTGGAGTTTTCGAACATAAAAAGAGAAAACAGCCGGAATCGAACAACAGCATCCCCGGGAATCCATTTGAAATAGTGAATGTTTCTCCGTCTACCCCCGTAAACACAGATTCCACAGAGTTGAGAATCAGTGATGATCCGAAGAAACTACTAGCCCTGCTCGCAGCTTTCGTTGGATTGTTCACAAATCACAGCAAGGATGATGTCTCGGCTGGCCAGGACCAGGACCAGGACCCTCCCAACAAAATACTTGCTAACGTGGCCCTTTTGTTGGGTTTATCTGCTGCTGCTGCAGCAAATGGTGATGCCACTCCCCCTGTCAATGGTTCCATTGAACATCGTGGAGCACTGCGAAAAGACTGCGAAAAGACGAAGAGGAGGAGGAAGAAGAAGAAGATGGGTATCGGCAAAGGTCGAAAAAACAGAGAATCATACTCGACTTGGATGCTGAGTCTATTCCAGACTCTTCACAATGCACACCTCCTCCGACCAAGTCTGAAGGTTCCACCGGTTATTCACCAGATTCTATCGTTTCTGCCGCATCTGTGGCCAACAGATCTAGGATAACTAGATCTTCAGGTACCTACTCTTTCTGTCTCTGTTTGTGTTTGTGTTTCTTCAACAATGCCATTATTTAGGATAAATTACAAAGACCATTCCTTATGTTTGAAAAAACAAAAAATAAAATCCACTAATTACAAGTTTATCAAAATCACATGGTGCACTACAAATTTATCATTTTTATTTTAATAATTTTAAATTTATCTAATATACATTATCATTTTTATTTTATTTTACATTGAAAGTAGTATTTTATAATTATCTGATTGATTCAATGATTCAATTCACAATCCCACGTGGGATTTTATTTTTAACAACCTCGAAATTAATCGGGCAAAACACTGGACACCCTTTGTGAGCCCAAAAAGTATAATTTTACATTGAAAATATAATTTTATAATTCTTGGTCTAATTCAGTGATTCGATTCACAGTCCCACATAGGATTTCATTTTTAAGAACCTAGAGATTAATCGGGGCAAAACCCTAGACACCCTTTGTGAGCCCAAATAATATAATTTTACATTGAAAATATAATTTTATAATTCTTGGTCTAATTCAGTGATTCGATTCACAGTCCCACATAGGATTTCATTTTTAAGAACCTAGAGATTAATCGGGGCAAAACCCTAGACACCCTTTGTGAGCCCAAATAATAAAAAATAAACCAAGACCAAAACATCACATCATTAATGGCGGGACCCACTGCCACCTAATTAGTGGGAGCACTAATTAGTGCTCCCAAGCATTTTTGTAATTAATTTCTTATTCTCTTTTCTCACTAATAAATAACCTTAGTGAATATTGTCTGCAAATGCTTAGTTTCTTTTCATGTAATAGATATATAGACAGGGCATAAAATTTGCATCCTTATATGCAGATGGAAAGTTTCGTCGCCAACTTCCCATGGGCAATCCAAATATTTGTGAAAACAACCTTGCCATTGTCCATCGACCTGTCGAGCATCCTGCTGTCAAAGAAGCATTTGATTCAGTTAGGGAGACTCTACAACCGATTCTTTTGCAGAAGGTGACAAGAATTAGAAAAGACGAACTGACCGTTGAGTTTGGACTTGAAACAACTGCTTCAATTGATCTGTTGAACCTTGTCAATGCTTCAATACATGGTCTGGAAGAAATCGGCGAAAGGGCTCGCTTAGGAGTAACGTTGTTGGAGGAAGGACAGAAAAAGGTGAATGAAGGGAAGCATATTTTGTTCTCTGCAATTAGTGAAATTCCAAAGCGGATCAAGTGAAATTGAGACCTTCAATTGGAAATTGGTTTGGCTTTTGGGGGTGTGCTTGCGGTTGGTGCCTTGCCAACTGAGTTTTATCCATGTTTGTTTTTTTTTTTCTTGTCTTTGGGGCCCTGTTGGCCAACAGTGCTTTTTGTAGCATCTCTTCATATTCAATAAAGGGTATTTCCATTATTGGTAATTTAATTTGTAATTTTTATCAATTTAAATCACACTTTCAATTGTCTTTCAATATAACCCTTAACATTTTGGACCGGACCTTAACATTTTAGATGGAAAAAGTTACATGGTTTTTATGTGTAAATTTTATCAATTTCTGCATAAGAAAAAAACTAAATAAATTACACTGATGATTCTTGTATACACAAGATTGCACCCTAGAGTTCTGCATTCATTCCAACTTTCTTTTTAAGCAAAGAGACATGAAATATCCAATGAAGGCATGAGTTTCTCTACATTAGCGAGACATGAATATTCAGGTCCTTTAAACCAATATAATTACAACATATGAGAAGATAAAATTTTGTGGTAAACAAATGTTCTTACTAAAATTATTGAATCACATTTATTGCTCAAAAACTCAACAAATATTTTAATGAAATTAAATTGCAGATCCAAAAATTCATGTTTCAGTTAAGTGACCAAAAATTTGTGAATTGAAACACTTGCTGGATACCCAAATTTGTGCTAATGACTGATATGATATGATATTACTTGACACAACTAAACTCCACTTTGATTTGTTGGAGAAATCACAAGAAGCAAGAGAAATTTTAAAAGAAAATACCTTTTGGAAAATGATCCCTGTTTGGTATAATTTTCAGAAATTGTTTTTTGATTTTTTTAATTTTAAATAGAACCTAGTTTGACAAAAATAACTATCAAAAAGATATTTTTGAATTTTAAGAAATTATTTCTATACTCTAAAAAGAAAAAAACTATATGAAAATGATGAGTTTTTCTTTTTTTTTCAATTTTTCACTAAATTAACTTTTAATTTTTTAGATTTTTTTTTTTTTTTTTTTTTGAAAAACTGATTCTGAAAATCAAACCAAACTATTCTTAAAAAAAAATTATAGAAGGATAAAGAATTTATGACAAAAAATGATGTGACAATGATATTTTTTTAAATATAAGTCATATTGATAAATGTTTTTAACTTTAAAATGATAAAATCAAAACTCAAGTCATATCATTTTATATTATTTTTTTGTATAATTATTTTTTTTATAAAAAAAACCAATAACGTCTAAAAATTTATTTATTCACAAACACATGCATTATCTCCATCTTTAAAAAAATGAAAAATTTAATAAAATATCCATCTCCAACTTTGTGTAGTAGGAGAGGTCCAAAATATTTTTTTTTATTAGCTAAGGTCTCTCGATGAAATGTCTCTCTCTGTGATCATATATACCAGAGAAATTTTGAAATTTGTGATCATATCGGAGAAATTTTGAAATTTTTCTGTGAAAATTGAAAATTTTCTGTGTTGGGGGAAAAAATTTTCTAAGTCGAGTAACATTTCTCTGATGTGATTATATCAGAGAAATTTCCCTGCAAAAATTGAAATTTCATTGTGTCGGGTCCAAAATTTCTCTGAGTCGGGCGAAATGTTTTTGAATCGAATTTTCTCTGTAAAAATGTTGAGGGATCTTAACTATTATAAAAATATTATATGTCATTTATTTTATAAAATCTTAATATCAGAAATCTTAAAAAAATTCGTCTAAAATATATATATACACACACATTAGAGATTTGCTATCATTTAAATATTTTATTAAAATTTTTCATTCTTTATGCCAGTGTACATGTGACACGAGAGATTTCACTATTTCTTAAATGTCAACCTCACCTACGTTGTTATTTAAAGGTGGTTTGGGATGATCTAAATAAGTGGACTTTTTGACTTTTTATGAAATATGGGTTGGGTATGAGTTGAGTTTGAAATGATGTATTAGAGAAGTGATGTGACTTAAATAAGATGATGTGACTTAAATAGGATAGTGATTTTTTGATTTTTTATCCTTTGTAGATCATGCCAAACAAAGCGTTAGTCTTCATTTGGCATTGGCTTTTTTGATTGGCTTTTTTGTATTAGAACTTTTTTAGCCTCCTTTGGTTTGATTTTTTTGACTTTTGTTAAAGAAAAAATGAAATAATTGTGATTTGAATATAATATTTTATCATATTTGGTTAAAATAATCAATTTTATCCTATATAACTATTTTAACCCACATCAACATGCCAAACATAGCCCATATATACCAAGTCTTACCATCATAATAACACTTTAATGTATTAAGAACAACCATAAATTTTTTTTTTTTTGAAATCCAATACATATGAATTCCTTGAAAAATCCCAACACATATGATTTTTATCCCTCATAATAACACTTAAAAAAAAAGATCTTAGCATTTATTAACTTCTACCAAGTCTTACCATCATAATAACACTTTAATGCATTAAGAACAAGTATAAAAAAAATTCTTTGAAATCCAACACATGAATTCCTTGAAAAGTCCCAACACATATGATTATTATCCCTCATAATAACATTTTAATACATTAAGAACAAGCATAAAAAAAAATTTCTTGAAAAGTCTAACACATATGATTATTATCAAAATATTAAATTTTAATATAATATAATAATAAAAAAAGACATTTAATTCATTGAAAAGTTCAACATATATGATTATTGTCAAAATATTAAACTTTAATATAATATAAAAAAGTAAAAAAAGAAGATATGTAAAAATCACAATTCACATATATAGATAATTGTAAACACAATCCGTACATAACACGGGTGATATGCTAGTAGAAAATAAAATAAAAGTACAAATTAAGTGTTATAAAAAATAACTGTTCTCTATGCATTATTAGGAGGAATATTTTACTAGTAATTAATGTCCACTACATTTCATATTAATTCGACACGAACCCTTTCATCTCTCTCACACAATAATTCATCCAAAATTTTTTGAATGGGTAAGTCTGAATTGACAGACTTTTTCATATATTCACTCTTATTAAATTATTGATAACTTCCAACACAACTTACCAACACCAAGAAGCGAAGACTACACTTCTAAAAAGAAAAACCACATTTACGGCCTACAACAACTGAAAACATATTTTAAAGAAATTTAAATTGTAGCACAATTACATTTGTTGAATATATTTAATGAGTTTCATATATGTCACTAATTAATATTCAACAAATGTGTGGTAACAATCAAGAGGATAGTGTACAAATATGAAAAGGAAGAAATGATTGTCCTAACATCATTGATAGTTAAAATTATCCGCTCCCAAATCTTTGCCTACAATTTTGCATCAATAAAAGGAGAACTCAATGATAATAAGAACGGACAGCATAATAAGTTTGCATGACGGCGAAGATGAGAAGCACGACTGCAGCAAGGAATGATATTATACTCCATGGATTCGGAAAAAATCACGTCGCAAGATTAACATATTCACGGTGATGATTTGGGAAATTGGTTAAAAATTGATCTTTTAGTGTATTTTTATTTTTATTTATTTATTTATTTTTTTTTATGTATAAAAAATATAAGAGGTGATGTGATATAAAATAAATTAAAAGTTAAAACTAGCTTTTAGCCAGCTACCTAAATTGCCCCTAAGTCTGCGCCAGTGCAACCATGATCTGCTGTAGTCGTTAACCTCTTTACACAACCTCGAAAAATAGAAGTATTTAAAACACCTTCATAACACATGCATTTGAAGAAATTCGTAACATCTTCACTCAAATCGTTTCTTATGATCCTATTTTTCTGAAGAAGCTCAACGTCTTGCAAGGAACGAAGAAGACTTCTCATGAGGAAGGCATATGATGCAATGTGACCCGAGCTGCCAAAGCTACGTTGCTCAAAAGTAATCAGACTACGGAAGATTGATTCTGTAGCTTCCTGTATGCATATGGTGGCATTTTAACTACTCCGCTAGTGAAATTTATGTCTAGTAAATTTTCTTTTGTGGTGTCACTTTGGATGAATTCCTGCCTTCAAAAATTTGTAAGACAATTTTCACTGTATTCGAAGAATTAAAAAAAGAAGAGAAACTGTTTGATTACAAAAATCAAAATAGTATATAAAATAAAATAAAAACAATGGATTCTTATTTGGTTACAAAAACAAAATCAGAATTTGATAAAAATAAATAAAACATAAAGTAAATTAATTACTGTTGGACAATCTTTATTGTATTTGAAAAATAAATTATGTTGTGTACTTAACAACAAACAGAATATATAAGAAATAAATGAAATGAGAGAATTTGTTTGATTACAAAAAATCAAACCAGAAAAATAAAATAAAATAAAATAAAGATTTTTATTTTGTTACAAAAACAAAATCAAAATAAAAAATCTGATTTAAATAAATAACTAAAACAGAAAATAAATAACCAACTTACTTGATTAATTTCTTGAATAATATTCTGATCAAGTCCAGTGTTAGACACTGTGTCCTTACGACAGATTCGTCATCTCCACGGTACTTTCAAAATGTGAACGTCTATCTTCCAGGATGAAATGATCAATAGCAAACAATAGCAGCATTACAAATTGTTTGCCCAACGAACTCACTAAGTGTTTACACTATTTCTTTCAGAAAATAAATGTAGCAAAATGCAGAGATTTATATCAGAGAATGGAGTACAAAAATTGGAGTAAAATCGGGACTGCCTATTTATATAGGTGAAGTGGTGGCTTGGTGGCTGCTAGTTTTGAATTAAACAGGTACCATACCTGTTTAATTTAAATTAAATAGATACAAAATCTGTAGGCACTGTTTGGTTTGAATTTCAAACAATTCAATAACATGTTTTGGGTGGATTTGAATTCGAACATATTCGGTTGGACAGATCCAAAACTGTATAAAATTTCTGAAGAGGTGCAATAATTTTGAATTCAAAATTTTGAAATTAATCTGGACAGAAATTTGGAATGAATTCTTGGACAGATTTTATTTTCAAAAATAAAATTTAAATTCAAATGTTTTTGGCCCAAAAAGATTAGTATTGGGTCAGACAAGCCCAACCCAACCTTACACCACCCACCCGCGCCCAAGCCAAGACCGCCCAATCGACCGAACGGCGGTGGCGGTGCGCGTGTGGTGATTTTTGGGTCCAATGGGTCTAGCCCATTTTGCCCATAACCTCCCTCTCTACAAAACTTGGGTACCCCTTGGGGCACACCCCAA